GTGAAATACCAGGAGGGCCCGTGAGACCTGACGTGTGTCTGGGAACGCTCACGGTGAGAAGAAAACAGATCGGTCATTTCCGAAACGTGGACAAGATTCTGGCTCAGACACCCAGAAGCTGGGACACGAGGCCAGAAGTGCCTAGGCCACAGGAGAGAACTTAGATGCATTTGAACTTTTTTTAAAAAAAACAAAACAAAAAGCGTAGGGACAGGGCCGAGGGACACAGTGATGGCTGGTACCGACCTGAGCCAACAGGAGAGGGTAGAATTCAGTTCAACAAATACTGACAAGGTTCGGATCAGGAATGTTTAACTATTCTGCATCAATAAGAAATCCTGGGACAAAGCATCATAAGGGATTTTTTTCCAAAAAATGTGCTCCATTACAGATTTATTTTCTTGAAGTAACAGTTTCTCATCACACGAGAATGTTTGTTTGGTTTTTAAAACCAGTGCTGGACTAGGAAGAATAGTGTAATTCACTCACATCAAAGCACTGACATCAAAGCAATTTTATGTAGACTCTCTTTGTACAGTAAATAGTTACATATAATAAGCATGACAAAAATATGACAGTTTCAGTATTTAATATCCAATCTAAGTATTCAAAGGATTCAAAGTATTCAAAAGGAAATATTTTTACACCATTTCAGTAGTCGCTTAGCTCAGTAGTCGGTTACAATAATCCTTATTGGGTACAGGAACTGGATGGAGCTATAAGAACAAAAACTCAGATTAAAGTTAATGAATGCAAAGTTCTACTGCAACCCTCTGAAAAGCAAAGAGTTACATTAAAAGAAATTCAAACACTGAAATACACTGAAGTGCACTGTGTCCTACAGCAGAGTTTGATACTCCAACTGGTCAGAAACAAGACAGTAACTTCAGAAGGCACTCTGAGTTAAACAACAGTAACTCCGGTCCACAGGCATTTTAGAATTCTGGTATTGTACAATAGAAAAAAACCCAACCCTATATTTATTCAATATAAATTGCTTTAATCTCTGTCCTAGCCCCAGTCAAATTATATTGCACTTTTTAAATATCCTGTGTAGGTTTTGATAAAAATCTAATACTTACATGTTGTGTTTATTAAAGAACAATTCATTACTTTGTAAAATATTTAAGAACAAAGTTTTAAAAGTTATTCTTGTATTATTAATATAACCAGAGGCTACACCAAATACATATTATTTTCTTATTAGCTCCTGTTCTAGAAACATTTTTGGTCCTTCAAAAAAAATTGTTATGCTGCAATTCATGTTCACAACTGGTATCAATGCTTTCCTATTGCAGTTTTTATAATATTTAAATAAATAAATATAAAATTTCTAAAGAAGTAATAGCTTTGGAGTTTTGTAAACAAACTGCTGTGGAAAGTCTGTAACAAGATTGAATTTGGCATGTTATGACTTTAATTGGCAATACTTTACAATCATACAACCTCTGTCATTGTAGAAAAGAAGGTTGGTAGGCACATCTTAGAAATCAGTCTGGAAATAAAACCCAAAAATACTGATTGCTCCTTAAGTATGAATAAATAAAAATCATCCAAAAGTAACATGACCCACTGAAACCAAAATTGACATTGATGTGATCTGTATGGGAGTATTTTTTTTTAAAATACAACTTAAAGGAAATGAACAAGCTATGAATGAATATACGATACTCAAGATGTACAGGATGCAAAGGCTGGCAGAATAAAATTAGCATTATAAATTTATAGAAATACTGATCTAGACAGAATGGTATCTTAACTGCATCTCACCAGAAGACAATCATAATTAACTGGAATCCGAACTTGAAGAAACATTCCAAATCTGTGTTTGGTAAAACGAATTTAGTGCAAAGCACTAGCTCTGAAATTTTGGTGACATCTAGGTTGCCCTACATTTCTGTTAAAACATGAGTGGTAACATAAAAGAAACCTAACAGATGTACACTTATGCTGTTTACATATAAATAGATGTATATGCATGTTCTAGAAAATCAGGTGATGTCAAGAGGTCTCCTAGGCTGTGCTGGATATATTTTATATAGTACAGTTGTAGTTTACATGTTCAATTTCATGACATACCCAAAGTGCTCTACATATGCACCCCTGTGCTTTGCTGTAGTTTTTTATTCCATATAGAATAGCTTTCTTTTGGTTTTTATTACTGAAAAATGATGGTTTCAGAGAGTGAGGAAAAGCTACTCAGGTTTTTGTGGAAAATACAGGATTTGCTCTTCAAGATTGTTGTTGCTTGATGAAATGATCAAATGTTTCTGTTCAACACCACGAACCATGTTGGTAAGCTTGCTGTTAGTAGAGACTAAGAGCTGTCCAAATACCTGAATGACTGGTCTGTGTAGTTAATGGAGCCTTCAAAGCACAACTGAAAGTCTTTAAACTAAGAAGCCTACCCTTTCTCGTTGCTTATATGGAGACATGTTTCTAAGTCTGGTAATGAAAATTCCTCTCCTTCCCTTCCCTCCAAAAGTCGAGAATTAGAGGAAAATCCAGTGCTACACCAAATTAAACCTCTGTCCAATCACTAATGAACAGTATACCTTGCAAGCAAAGGTCAATGTTGTTTGATGTTAGAATAAAGCATTAATTGTAGCTCATGAAATAACTACACAGTGTGATTTGTCCCTACATGAAACAGTTAAGCTGCAACTGTACTATACTTTATCACATACTCTAAATCATGGCTAACTTAACAGCTACATTTGCCTTTTTCTTGCTCCTCATTCAGTTGTTCTGTAGAGCTGTGCCCATTGGAGCGCACTACCCCTTCTGGGATCCACGATTTATCCACACACCGTTCCATGCGCTTCATAATGAGGTCAAGCAGAGTTTCAATGGCTTTGCTGACATTATTCCCGTTAGCCGCACTGGTTTCGAAATACGGTATTCTGCAGAGGACAGAACCCACAAACTTACATCAGACAGGTTTTATTCATAGGTGAAGAAACAATAGATGACGGCTGCCACATACTTAAAAAATCACACAGCACCATTACTGCTACTCCGTAGCAGAAACACACCAAGTGGTCGGTGGTCTGAAATGCAAAAGAAATTGATGGAATGGCTGACTCTGTAGATAGGGCAGAAGGCTAAGTTTTAATTTACATCACAGAGTCCACAACTTACAGAGGCACTGGTCAGTGTAAGTTCCCAAAGCTACGCTCCTGAGGGCTGTTTACTTCAGCTCCGTTACCCACAAGAGATCCAATTACTTTATATGGCTTTGTGTGCTTAAGTGTTCTTGCTGATTTCTATCTACATGAGCTAGGGAGTCATTGCAAGAGAGGGACCACTTGTATGGACGTTTGTCTGCAGGCAAGGCTGTAAAGACTCAGAAAGTGTTACTGTTATCACTACAAAAGGTGACTGTTTCTTCTGTTGACACCTCAGCTACAAACTCTCTTATGTGAGGAGAAAAAAATAAATCTCTGCTCAGACCACCTACATTTTTGTTAATGAAAGTTTCTGAGCCCCTTGGCACGGAAAGTTACCTTGCTGTTCATTCATTCTTGTGCATCAGGATGTTTCAATGGCGACACTGTCGGTTTTTAACCTTCTGCGCTTAGTGCTTCCCCAGAGGGTGGTGCCAGAGCGGCTGCATTAGTGTCACTCCCCAAGTAACTGATAGAATCACTTCATAATATTAATTATTTCTTTCTTAACTTGCAAGAGTCAATGAGTGGTCAAAAATATTATCTTATTGTCTCAGTGTGTAGGTCTCCTGCAATCATTTTTAAAATACATCACTTACCCATCAAGGCCTTTCCACAGAAAGGATATTCACTATCTCATGCTTTTGTTACCAGAAGACTGTTCGCTGCAGCAGGATTTATCTTGCTTCTCCTCAGAAGCAAGTGACATGTAGCAGCTATCCTGTTGCATCTCTACACGGCACAGAACTTTGTAACTGCCTACAGATTGGACATGATCTATACTTTGACTTTTAGCTCCCTGTTCCTAAATTAAGTAGGCATTTTCAGCCACGAAGATAAACATTTCATATGTTATTTCCAGAAGTCACACGCAAAGTGATCCTTTTCAGATCTTTAAGAAACTACCACATGCCTTTTGCTGCTGTTTAAAAAGTTTTTGTTTCTTCACAAGCAGGTGGTTGAAATATCATATGCGTTTGCTATTGTCTGTGTGATGTGGACTAAAGCACTAAACCTGTTTGTCTCTAATAGGTTGCATCAGATTTGCCTCTGATGATTCTTCAAGGTCAAGTAAAGCTACTTTGAGACTGCGTGATAAGAAATAGCACAGCACAACAGGACTAGACTCACAGAACAAGGCACTCTGTGAGGAGACTCTGAACACAAGTCCCGAGGCTTTCAAAGAAACTGAGGCCCCATGTTTCCATGGCCACACCAGAGACAATGGCTACCCTACAAGAAACTCCTGCAGAACAACTCAGCTTGTAAATTAGGATATTACTGCTTGGTGTTATTTTTGTTTTACCTAAAATCTCATATGACACTCATCACCTCAGCAAATGCTCTTTCGGATTTCACTTTGTAAGAGACCTGGGGTTTCTATACCCCACAGAAAGTCTCAGCACAGGCAAGAGCAAAGAATTAGAACCCCATCATTCACTTGCCTCGCCAGCTAAAATCTACCTCTTTTCCAGAATGTTTGTGAAAAATTACTTTATTTACTGCCAAGGAAAGAAGATTGGTCAATCTCCAGTGCCAGGTTATTGCAATACCAAGTATGAATTTTTAGGCAATGCAGAAAAAATGAACCTCTAACAGGAAAAAAAGGTATTATATTGGCCACTTACTCATTCTAAAATGATTATTCTCACAGTAACCTTTCACTACACAAAAAAAGGCATTACAAAAAAAATTCATTCTGCTGTAAACACAGCAATAACTGGAAGGAAGTTACTTACTTACCCATACTTTTCTGCAAGTTCCTTAGCCTCTTCTTCTTTCACCATTCTCTGGTCTTCTAGATCACTCTTGTTTCCACATAATACAATGTCAGGGTTTTCACAGTATGCATGCATTTGTAGCTGACCTAATAGCAACAACAGGAATAGGGGTCACAGCTTATTGTCATACATAAAGCTCACGAAGAACACCACCACATTCCAGGGGATACCAAGTTCTTCAGGAAAATGACTCTTTGAAAGACAGAAAATACTGCTTTTACATATGTTAAGATTCAAGTTAGTAGGCAGAGCTGAATTTCAGGTAAGCACTAGAAGCCACCACTAGCAGGTATTACAATTATGAATTCAACATTTACTTTTTTTTTTTTAACTGAGAAAGCTATAAGAAACCATTATTTTCAGTTCAATTTCTCAGTAAGAGTCCGTATCTACAGTCATAGTCCCCTCTCTGCCCATGCAAAGAAACAAGATAAAAAAAATAAAGAAAACCAAAGAAATGCCATACTTATCCAGTTCCTGACATTCAGGAAGCTTTGCTCATTTGTCAGATCAAAGAGTAGAAGAAACCCCATGGCATCTCTGAAGAAAGCTGTTGTCAAGCTACGAAACCTGGACCAGCAAAGTGAAATTAGTTGGCTCATCTGACAAGTTACTGTGAGAACATAATTGTATATGGTTATAAAACTGAGGTAATTGAAGACTGAACTAACTAGAATGAAATATTCGTAAAAACTGTTTTGCTCATGTAGGGGACTGCACAAGAATTGCTAACCATACGGTCTAATCAAGGCCTAAGGAGGCCAAGGAGACCTGTCACTCAAGCGTTCTCACAAGCTTTAGACAAAGTCTTCCATTATAAAGTCTGACTTGATCAAGATTCAGACATTCAAAACCTGCCTGGACATGTTCCTGTGTGATCTACTGTAGGTGATCCTGCTCTGGCAGCGGGGCTGGACTAGATGATATTTTGAGGTCCCTTTCAACCTCTGACATTTTGTGATTCTGTGAATTAAAATAAGAATGAAATTCAAACTTGAAACAGAAATCTGTCCCCCGTACACATCAGTTCTTTGAAGTCTACCAACCGCTAGGATGCTAGTTTTTTGACAGCCAAATAGAAGAGAATCCCTTAAGGTGATTTCACCTGTCTGACTTTCCCTAGACCTCTGCATATTTACAAAAATGTAAGGAGGACTGAAAATAGCAAAAGCTTTAAAAGCATCTATACACATTTGCCCTGAAAAAATAAACGGAAAGTTTCCAGAAGAGAAAAAGCAACAATTGCAGTTTCAGTGTTCTACAGCTGTAAATTACAGTTGTAATTTAATGGTTATTCATAAGAAACTTTCCATCACTGTTAATGTAAGCACACATTCCCATCTTGAGTCATGTAATTACAGTGTAATAATCGATAAAGAGAATTCATGTACTCAGTTCCAGTTGCACTTAGCTTGATGACAACTGCCTTACTTGCTAGGTGGGGGGTGGAACATACCTTTCCTGCCCTGCAGTATCCCAGAGCTGAAGATGTATCCTTTGCCCTCTGCCACCAACCCCATCTGGCCCATTGGGTCTATACACCTGGAAAAGGCAAATTTGAAAGACTGAACATTGGCAGTCTGCCCTTGGTAGAACACAAAATAACTGATAATTCAGTCATTAAATGCAGAAAAACTAACATTGCCAATGCAAAGAACTCAACTACAACTCAATCCCTTTGCTTTATAAGATAAAATTAATATAGGTTGTATTTTAACTTTGCATCCAACTGACTATTTAAAAATATGGGTGAAAGTGAAACTGGAAGAAACAGTATCCAGTAGGCTACAGACTCCAAACTGATATTTAGAGTGGCCATTAATCCTAATTAGAAAAGCTTAATTGTAGTATTTTGATTTTCTGGTTTTTGCTACTGTCTTGTATCATGTTCAAATTAAAATATAATTATAATAAAGCAATAATCAGATCATGCAATATGGCAATGTATTTGTACCATGAACAGAACCTCATTAGCAAACAGAATATACTCAAAGATAATGGCATCTCTTCTTAACTGCCAAAAGACTGCTGAAAAAAAATTGAGGGCAGGTCTTACCATATTATAGCTTTAAAAGCAGAAATTGGATGATAATAATAAAAGATGAAGAGTTTACTCAGCATGAAAATATAAAAAAGGGCATCTGCTAGCTTGAAAAGATCAGACAAAAATAGATTAATTTCTTCTTTAGAATGCTTCATGTTAGGTCATCTTTACCTTCAACTGTCGTTACACCTAAGATTATCAGAGTTACAAATGTATTTTTAGAAACATATAAACTTCCTGAGTTTGCGGATTATATGATTCAAGCTGTGAAACTTAAATCTTATCCTGAGTTACTAAAAATGCTGATCAAGTAAACCACACCATGTTTACTATGCCTCCGAATGAATAAAAACTTATTTCTTTATCAGGAAGTGTAGTGATAGGACAACAGTTAACAGTTTCAAACTGAAAGAAGAGTAGATTTTGATTAATGTCAGGAAGAAATTACTTTCTGTGAGGATGGTGACACACTGGACCAGGTTTCCCAGAGAGGTTGGGGGTGTCCCCTCCCTGGAAGTGTTCAAGGCCAAGCTGGATGAGGCTTTGAGCAACCTGGTCCAGCAGAAGGTGTCCCTGCCTAGGGCAGGCGGTTGGAACTAGATAATCTTTAAGGTCCCTTTCAACCCAAACCATTCTATGATGCTTTGATTATTCAAGAGACCAGTTTCACATTTCACTAAGACCTTTACTCCTTGTACCACTGAGGTGCACGTCATCCATCAAAAGCTGGTCTGCACAATGCCCACTACACCATCAAGATTTCCGGACACTTGGCAAATCATTAGACTACACTGAAACACTACATTAGACTACACTGAAACTTCTACATAAGTATGAAAAAGAACTGGTGCCAACTCAGTTTCTCAGTGCTGTAAGGACCAGCATCCCATTGATTATCATAATGCAGTGCTCAGCTTCATATCAAATTTAACAACAATTCAAGGGTTAAGAACAAAAGCCCCTACCTTATTTTTCACAATTCTCTGGTAGTGGTAACTGCTTAGGAAGCCAGACCAGCACTATATATCGTACTACGCCATTTCATTCACATGTTTTAAAACGTGTTTAAAATCAACATTACAGTCTTTGTTCATTAGCCATTTCATTTCACAAACAGCAAAACCATTGTTAATAGAGCCTAATCCTTCCCCATGAAGAGATTCAACAATCAAAGTGCTACTGCGGGTACTATGTGCACACCTCAGAGTAAATACACTCACCAAGGCTTGCTGAGCAGTTGGAAGTGCTTGCTTAGAACAGCTCTTCTTACTTTAACTTTGGGGTAATAGGTATGGGACAACACACAACAATGACAAAAATAACCATGTAAAACAAAATAATTTTCATGTCACAAGGTTAAGTAGCTACTTGATTGCATGCCTACACATAAGGATTGGCAGGTCAGATTTTTAAAAAATAGATTCTAGCCATCACCAAGACAAATACCATTTTAAAGTAACGAATTATTTATGAAAACTCACCACTCTCTTTTCTCGAAAGTCAATGCCCACCGTTGTGATGAATTTGGAATTAAATTTGCCATCTGTATACTGGTAAAGAAGGCTGGTCTTTCCTACTCCAGAATCACCAAGTGCTAGAAATTTTATGAGGTAATCATAGTCCCCATCAGACATAGTGAGAATTCAGAAGACACCTTAAAAAGCAAAGTAAAAAGGATTCATTAGTCAACAACTTGGGCAAAGTTTCTTTTGACAAATGTTTAAAATACAAATGACTACTTGAACTAGAAAGCATCCAGCAGTGGCGGCACCAGTGCAGCCTTTTACACACATTTCACTTTAAACTCTCAATTATGCTAATTATCAATATCAAATTCAGCTGCAATTGAAGAAGTGCATAGTAAATTTTATCTTATTCCTCCTACCAGAAAGACTTTTAACTTTCACAGGAAAGACTGAAAATCAAGCTCAAAGTATTCAAGATATCTGGAACATGAACTGCAAAACTGTTTTTAATCTGCGTGGAAGCTGGCAAAAAGCTACTTAAACATACCAACAATCCTGACCTCATTTCACTGTGACATTACTAACATATGCCAAAAATCAGTTCCAAGCTGCCCACTATATTTAAATAAAAATTAAAATTTTCTATTAATAGCTATTCTTCTAGTCTTGAAAAAGCTTCTTCACATGAAGAAGAAAAATAACTAAGAAACATTTTGGTGGTGGTGGTGGGTTTGTTGGGTTTTTGTTTGGTTTGTTTAGAAAATTGATTTTCAAAGTTTTTTAAAGTTTTTCTCATACGCCAATTAACCATTTAAACTAAATCTTGATCATGAATTGCCATTAAATAACATACACGTTTTTTCTGTGGCCTGTACACATTTAAGAAATTTCTCTCTATCCTTTTTGTGTCTTTGAAAAAATAACAGCTAAAATGCATAACAAAAATCACTGGCAAGTGTCACTTATACTAGAAAGACCAATGTAAGTGCACTAGTACTTTCTTGTTGAGTAGTTACTGAGCCTCTCCTCCCCCAAAACAAACAGTAGAGAGCTGTCTTATGTTGTGTTCAAAAACATGAGCATGAAGAGATAAGCCTAAAATAACCATCCTAAAAGCAACATAAAACTGGCATTAAATTGCTTTTTATGAAATAGATACGAAAATACAAAAGTTAATTAAAATTAAATGAAATTAAATGAAATTTTTTTTAAAAGGTAAAATCTGCTGTTTCGACTGTAGATCGGTATTTTTGGAGCTATTTGTAGCTTGAACTAGACAAAGTTATTCATTTCAAGTCAAACACTGCAGTAGTTTATATCAACAGCACATCAACAATTCATTTCTTGAATATCGACTCACAGCTTGAGGTTTGGAACAAACTCTTTATCTCAAGGTGTCAATCAGCATCATTAAGCCAAAACCATAACCATCTTTAAAGCTTCACCTTACACTCTTTGTTATAAGACAGAATCGTGATCAGTTAGCTTAGTCATGACTGGACTTACCACAATCAAACGCACTCAATGGTCAGATTTACACTCAGATGCTCCCCAACCAAAGAGTCAGTGGAAAGCATCTGACACTTTTTTGCCATTTCTAGTTTCCCTTTCTATAGTCTCCCTTTCCCCAGCCAAGGCTTGGTTTACATTAGGCCATCAACGACAGTAAAACCTTGCAGAAAGGGGGTTTAGTTGACATTCACTACCGCACCACAGCCAGCTAATCCTTTCCACTGTTGTTTTTTAATACACAGTTTTGCAGTACAGTAGAAAACTGGAGGGGAACCACCACAATGAGTGAGATCTTTATATAAATACACCACAACTGCAAGCCTGCATCCACTACACAGGCCCGAAGGAGCAGCATATTCAAGTAAGCAAGTTGAACAGCAATCTATACAGTGATGTAAGAATTCTTTTAGAGGAAATTAAAAGCCTTGATCCATTAGACACACTCATACATGCCAGCAAAAGGGGTTTCTGAGGTTTTGTTTCATTTTTAAAACCTCCCCCTGCTGGGGAAGGAAAAAACCAATAAAGTAAAAATCATATTGTCAACCTTGTAGCTCTACAAACTCTTTTCATCGAAATACACTAGAAGGAAGGAAAAATATTTTTGAAAGCTAACAAGGAGGTTTTTACTAAAGACTGGGTTTGATTCGGACTTCCGTCTCGTATATGATGTTTCTTTTGCCCTCACATGTTCTTCAAGGGCAAAGGGCTATGTAAGCTTCCCCTCTACGCAAATACATTTTCCTTCAGCTTCAATAACTCTAAATTAAAAAGGCTTAAATGCAAGTCTTATGGCCAGTATATTATACAAAGAGAAGGTACCTTCATGTCTTTACTGTCTCACCTGTACAGAAGTACTTGCCTTGTCATGTTGGTATTTTATTAGAGATGGGAGCTATAGGCATACAGAACATACTTTTAGTAACAGATACAAGTGATAGTGTCACCTAATGGCTGCTAATTTATGTTGTAAGAAAGCTAGTTTATCATGTGCTCTGCACAAGACCTTATGGAGGAAGAAAGGGTGTGAGAGCTACTACTTGAAGCTTGCATGAGGTTTGCCTGGCCAGATTTTGGTGGCAGGGGGGCTGTAGAGGCGGCTTCTGCAAGAATCTGCTAGAAGTTTCCCCTAAGCCTGACAGAGCCAATGCCAGCCGGCTCCAAAGACAGACCCACCGCTGGCCAAAGCTGAGCCTATCATATGATAGGTTAGGAATATTTCTGTGAAAACCTATTTAAGAAATGGGGAAGAAAGAACTGCACCACACAACAACTGGCAGACAGAGGAGTGAGAATATGTGAAGACACCAAGGTCAGTGAAGAAGAGGGTGAAGGATGTGCTCCAGGCACCAGAGTAGAGAGTCCTCAGGGTTGTGGTGAAGCCCACGGTGAGGCAGGCTGTCCCCCTGCAGTCCATGGGTGTGATGGGGTGTAGGTGTCCACCTGCAGCCCGTGGAGGACCTCACACCAGAGAGGGTGGATGCCTGAAGGGGGCTGTAGTCCTGTGGGAAGACCATGCTGGAACAGGCTGCTGCCAGAGCCTGTAGCCCGTGGAGAAAGAGAAGCCCACACCGGAGCAGGTTGGCTGGCGGAACTTTTGTGACACTGTGGGGGACTCGCCCCGGAGCAGTTTCCCCCTGAAGGATGGCACCCCATGAAGAGACTCACGTTGGGGCAGTTTGCAACAAACTGTCTCTTGTGAGAGGACTCACACTGGAGAAAGGTGTGTGAAGATCGTCTCCCATGAGAGGGTCCCCACAATGGCCCAGGGGAAGAGTGAGGAGCCCTCCCCTGGAGGAGGAAGGAGCAGTGGAAATGACATCAGATGAACTGATTGCAACCCCCATTCCCTGTCCCCCTGCACCGCTCAGGGTGAGGAGGTAGATAAACTGGGATTGATATTAAGCCCGAGAAGAAGGGAGGAATGGAGGGAAGGTGTTATTATTTTAAGATTGGGTTTTATGTCTCGCTACTCTTCTCTAATTTGTTCTTTAATAAATTTAACTAATTTCCCCAAAATTGAGACTGTTTTGCCCAGGACAGTAGATGCAGGTGATCTCCCTGTCCTTATCTCAAACCATGGGCCCTTCATTATATTTTCTCCCTCTATCTAGCACAGAAGGGAGGGTGATAGAGTGGCTGTGTGGGTACCTGGCTGCTGGCCAGGGTCAAACTACCACAAAGCTGTAAAAAACTATTACAGTTCAGCTGCACCCTGCCACTGGACAGAGCTGGGTAAAAGGTCTGGTTTGAAGAGAACGGTCAAGGTTAGACCTTGGGGAAGTAAAACCTAAAGGTAGTCCTAGGGTCGTATCCGATGTGTAGAGCATCTGTTTGGACAAACGTGCCACGTCATCTGGACCACTTAAACCTCAGTTCTGCATATGGCTGGTACAACTGGCAAATGACCAATGGATGACGAGGAGCCCTTCACAGAAAGGGCATAAAAATGTCTTCTGAAGGACTTGCTTGAGAAGGAAATTTTCTCAGTAGGCCTTTGAAACGCACACACCTTTCACTGCACCCCATAATGTCAATCTATTATTCAGGTATCTCCAGGGAGTGGTTCTTGTGAAACCCTGCACAGTTAACCTATCCTTGGAGACATGCAAAGAGCTATTTTCATAATAGTTTTAAGCCTTGTCCTCCTCCCTGAACAAATATTTAAAAAGTGATCTCCACCCTCTACTTCTGAGACCTGCAGTCCCAGTACCCAGACACTTCCAGCTCCACATAACAGAAATAAGAATATATTCAAAACAAAGTATATTCATAAAAAAACCTCCTGGTTTTAAGTCATGGCCCTGTTACTTAGTAACTCCATCCCATTTTTTCCTTACAATTTTGCGCTTTTTTTAATATTAGGCTTTATATCAGGTAATCAAAATAAAAAAAATACTGAATTCATTTTAGTATGATCATTCTCAAACCTTGCTTCTAAGCATAAGAACTCCTTGGCTGAAAAAATTCACTGATGGACACATTTTTACACTTCACATCAAGCCCTCTAGGGTTTTGCCTTTTGTAAACCCCTCCTTAAATCCCACTCAGCTCTGGCTTTGCAATTCACTTAGCATGCAGATGTACAGGGTCTATAAGCAAGTGCTGGGAAAACCTCACTGGCCTTTTCCGTTGCTGACAGGACCCCCAAAGCCATCACTTAAGCTGTGCCTGTAGGACTGCTGCTCTGGAGCCTCCATATACACACATACACACACACAGCCAGATTGTGGCTTGCCAAGGACGGATGCTCTGCAAAGCAAGTGCTGCTCTTGTTCAATGGATTTCCTAGTCCAAGGTACTGGCTCATTAAAAGGCATCAATGTTAACAGACTCGTATTTTTGCCTCCAAAACACTCAAGAGTATGGCAGTGCTGCTCCTGTACAAAATTAAGGAAACTGGATTGGCATGCAGGATTTCCCCTGTGTGGTATGGGGACAGGGAATATGTTTTCTGAACTGGCCTTGCACAGAACATGCAACTCCTGTGCTGCTAGAGCTGATGGAGGCAAGAAGGGAAAAGTAAGAAGGCACAAAGAGATGAATAAACAAAAACACAGTAACAAAAAGCAAACACAAAAAATAATTGAGCTGCAAATAAAAATGTGTACACACATACACGTGCACAGTGTGAAATTCAGGCAGTCTGAACATCCTCTTAATCAGACAGTCCTCA